AGAGAGAGAGAGAGAGATTGTGAAGTTCACGGAGTAGCCTATGCCCTATTACACTAAAAATAAAAAAAAGCTAAATAGTGGAAAGGACTAGAAAAAAATTGATTAATAAAAGAAAAATCACATAAAATATCAGAAAAAATTCCCCAAAAATAAAAATAGAAAACTCACCATTTCAGTAAAATAGGTATAAAAAAAAGCATAAAAGCTAAATACAAGTCAATTAGAATTGATCTAGTCAAAGATGAATCAATTATAAATGAAATACAATGAATTATATACATGGAGAGTTTGGGCTCTTTTTCTGCATGACAGTCCAAGCCTAAATAACTCGGGCGAGGCCGGATTGACTCACCCTGAGTAGTAAAAAACTGCTCAAAGGCCTTTACAATATCTTTAAGATATCAGCATTGGATTTGATGGAAAAGGTGCACCAAAGTTAAACTGTGATTGCACAAAAACAGTACATACGTATGAAGGCCTTGTTTTACCTTCACAATAGAAATGATTGGGGATTCCAATCAATCTATGATGCTCATACACCCAAACTTGCCATGAAAATGCAAATATCAGGTTTATAAGCAAATATGAGAGCCAAATATAAAGAGCAACACTGGAATTTTACACAGACTACCAAGAATTAAGGAGTAGTTTTGCCCAATACCTAGAACCCTCTTGACTTGATTTGGTGTCCATTGCTAGGTTTTGGTGAAGTGGGTATTGCTGCCAAGGCACATTGGAGTGAGGAGGTCCTATTTAAATAGCGAGAAGCAGGAAATATGTTATTGCAAAACCCTCATTATGTTAAGCTTGCTATAATTTATGCTCACAAGAACAATTAGTTATAAACTTTTACTTGTGTAAGTTTGATTTTGTGTATGATCTGATAAACGGCTTGTGTGGTATCGAGCTTGCTTTTTTCACATTAAAAAACCACTAATTATTTCAAAAACGGGTAGGAGCTACTATTCCCCACTGATCTACCCAAAAAAAAAAAAGAGAAGTAAAAGAAAGAAAGCAGCTCAGGTAGTATGTGTTGTGAAGTTATGCTTGTGAACTAGAGGAAGTGCTAATTAATCCCAAAGCGTTACAAGAATGGGTCAAGGGTGGTCCATGGTCCACATATTTTCAAAATGCTAACATGGTGACTTGGTTCATATATTTTCAAAAAGCTCACATGATAATGTCATGTGGATATACATCTCTAGGAATCTTCTAGCAGCAAAGCCTGCCTCTCTCTCTTGGATGGTTGAACATAGGCACACTCTCTAGCATGTCAATATGCAGCCCAACTTTGTGTGTGCGTATCTAACTCATGCATGTGCCTGCTGGTCTTCCTAATATTTAAACCTAAATCAAACTTTATCTACTTAATGCACACATATGTCTGTGTGTTTATACATGAGAGTGAGTACATGTGAGATGTGGGTAAGCATATCTATACCATGTAAACCATGAAATGATTTGATTGAGGCGAAACATACTTAAATGAAGAACATGAAAAGCATACAATATGAGAGTTTGTACTTGGTACAAGAAGGTCACAATTACTTTTTGCATGTTAGATGTGAAATATAATAGTTGGATATGCTATTGACCATGTTCAAAGTCTAAAATTGTTTTTTAGAACTTTATAATACATTTTTAGCACCTGATTTCACATCTAACAGCTAAAAGGGAGGATCGGTTGCAACCTTCTTGTACAATAGGTAAAAGGTTTCACAGTATACCATCTCTAAAGATAATATTAACAAGTGCAATATGATTAAGGAGGACAAGAACATAAGTGTAGCTTACTTCTAGTTAGAAAAGTTGCGACATATTCTTCTTACAGTGAACACTTTCCATTATTTTGTATTTGGATTGATGTCAATTTTTCCAACTAAAAGGCTATGAGGTCATTTATTCACTCCACAGCTCTCTCTCAAAGGTTTGATGGTTCCTTATCATCCCTTTTGTCTCTTTCCAAGAGTTTTATTCCCACTTGACCAAAAAAGTGTGTTTGGTTTGTCTTTTTGAGCTTTAGTGAATCTTTAATAACCACAAAATTTGAGGTTTTTCTAGCCCAAATGATCACTAAGGAACTTACAAAGTGCATTTTTAGAGGAGTTTGGGAGCTAGGATGGTCCAAGACATGCAACCTCACTTGGTTGACTTCTTTCCTTTCTTTTGTATGAGGAACATCTTTGACTTTGTTGTTGAACTACAATTGGTCAGACATGCTGCTTTAAATATACCAAGACTAGAGAAAGAAAATGACATGCTGACTTAAGGCTTTCCCTTTTCTTGAACCTTCTTCTTGAGAGATCGAATTGTATTCTTTCTTTTTCTCTTTTTTTTCTTTTTTTTTTTTTCAGTTCCAATGGAATTTTGCTTCCGTCTCAAATTTGGATGAGATACTGCTTGTCTGACAAACTTGGGCTGATTAAGTATTTTTTGTATTTGATTTAAGACAATTTTAATCAATTTTTATGGGACATTCTCTTATTGTGGTTAAGGGTGGCAACGGCCTGGCCCAGGGTGGCCCTATAGAGCTTGGGCCAGGCTGGGCCAAAAACAAATGTAAAAAAATGAACAGAAAAAATAAGAAAAGAGAGAGGGCTGGGCCAAGCCAAACCGAGCCAGCACTAACCCTAGCTTCACCCTCAGGCCACAGGTTGTGGCCTAAGCCCTATTTAGGGCCCGGCCGACCGCCCATCGCCAGCCCTAATTGTGGTGGTACTACTTAGTTCGAATTTGTAAGAATTAAAAAACAATTCATATGTGTAATATTTGGATGCACATAACTATATGGGGGGGGGTGGTTAAAAACATAATTTTCAAGTATAATAAATGAAAGAATCACTTTGCATTGTAGGTAAGCAAATGCAAAACGAATATTATTGCCTTGCGACCTGTTATCCAAAAAAAAAAAAAAAAAAGAAAGAAAAAAAAGAGCACCGAGTGTTACTTGCAACTATGTATGAATTCTATGGTGAATCTGATACTTATGTTGGCCTTCTTGCTCCGTGGCCCTAATTAGTAGCGTCTTAGGGGACCATCCCCCTATTCGGATTCAAGGGTGTGAGTCCCCAAATGGGTATTTTGGTTATATAGTTAATATATTTTTGGGGTTAAGTTGGGGTTTGAGAAAGCAGGCAAGGTATTAATGTATTTTTGGCTCAAAATGAAAGAGATTTATTGGGAGAGAACTGGCTTTGAATTTCTTCATAGATTCATCTTTTAGCGGCTCAAAAGACGGTGTTTAAATGATGATACATGAAGAAGTAAAATGAACAAATACTAAAAAAAAGTTTATAAAATACCTTTTTAAATTAAAAAAATTGTTTGCATATTCATGATAGCCATGGTCGAAATTATCAACCTCTAGGATGCAAAATCCATCTCTAAGATAAATTTTGGAAGGGAATGAACTGATAGGAATAGTTGATCAGTTGATGCAAACTAAGCTTTTAATTCTTTTTCAAAATCAACACCTTAACTCATAAAAAAACTCAATAAAATAACAATCCTTAAAGGAAAAATAGTAGAGAACGAAAAAACTAGTAAACCAGCAGGAGTGTGCCTCCACATTTTATTAATTGAAAGTTCAACAAAAAGTAACCAATCTACCTCACAACCCTATAATAACAAGTATTTTACTCTTAAGACTCAGTAAGAGAAATGATCCTATAGGACCCTCTCCCATCCATGTGTACAGGACCCTAAAGAGTCATTATTCAATTTGTCATGGATCTATAGAAAA